AAAAATGATAAACTCAAGATTTGGGGTAAATTATTCAGATAAAAATCAAAATCATACAGATATTCACATTAAGGAGATTTTCGAAAAAGCTTCACCTCCCGCCAGGAGATGGAGAATCTGAGGCAACAATTTAAAAAGGATTACGTCCTGATAGCTTAAATACTTCAATTACTGCTGGAAAAACAGCTAGATATATAATTCTTTGCAAAACGACGTAGGCTCCAAGCAAATAAATTCGTCGAATATACACATTTTGCGCATTACTCATTGTCAAAATGGGCGAATCAGTAGAAATTGCTGATTATTTTCTTCTGTTACAGAACTTCAGGCTGAAAAGTGCCCGCAAAAGAAAAAATTTGCAGTACTTATTCAACTTTTTCAAAAGCCAGTATAACGAGCTGGGTCCAGACGGCTATTAGGTCACCATGCAAACATACCATTCAGTCTGGAATTACCACTGATATCTGATCTGAAGAAGACACAAGCTGATAAATATGGTCAAAATGTATTCAAGACCCAAAGTTCAAGTTAAGAAAGAGAAAATGTTTGACTAAAATTTAATAAGATCCCAAGCCATGCATTGTGAAATGAAAATATCGGTCATCTACAGAATAAGGATATCGTTGTTTGGGAAACATTCATTTCTGCTTGAAGGACCTTTATTTCTGATAGAGACACCTTCATTTCATATGAAAGTGCATGAAGAAGAGATTCGTAGGTCGATCTCACCAGAATACGACGGCTGAATCCTGTTCTACTGCAGCGGTCTGGCTTTACTACGACGTTCAGATTGACGCAGTCTCTCGTATCGGGTAAAGCGGGCTGAGCTTTCGTCCGTCATATAATGGACATCATGAGAGTTGGAACCATTTTTTTGTAAAAGTCTCCCGCTAAAATTAGGTAGAGAAAAGTACCAGCTCCGGTGATGTCATTCATAGAATGGATGAAAGCACATTCCGTGTTCACTCGAAGCGAGGAAAGATGTATCATCGACTACGTCAACCGCGCCATGCGGTCCCCGCCAATGTAGTCAAGGCACAGACAGACGCAGTGGTCGTCCAGTTAATAAAATCAACTTGCGAAAATGATGGAAAAAAAACAAAGTTAAGTATATAATTAGTTTGACCTTGATTACGCAACTTGATCATATTGACAGGAAGACCTAGAGGACAGCACCTAGTCCGGAGTCCATTGTATGCATCATCATTTCCAGAGTTATACCATGGACATGGTACATTCCCAGACATTTTGCCGGCATCGTAGTGGGCATCGTCAGTGAGTCTTGCCATTCTTAGCACCACACTACAACTCGTCAAAGAGACAAGTGAAGCGTTTCACCAAATGTCTGCCAAACAATCGTGATATGTCTCATTCCTATATTCCCCTATCACACCTTCACTATCACAATTTTTTACTTACTTATTTAAATGTGGTATTGTGTGTCCTTGTGAGCGGCTTTCATGAGGAATCTCCACACTCCACACTGGCTTTCTCACACCCTCACCAACCTCCACCCTTGCATTGGAATGATGATCAGTCTGCTCTATTTTTACACAGTCCTCCTTCCCTAGGTCTAATCAGAGTCTCTCTCTCTTGCTCCGTATGATCCGTCTACTCTCTCCCTGGTTCACATATTTCACTCGACACCTGCTACCCCATCTGTGCTACTCGAGGCGTTATTTCCACACTCTGCCTCTCCCCGAGTAATGCTTATAGTCAAGCCATTGCTTCATGTACCACGTTTATGATTAAACACGTCTAGTGATATCCAACCAGCTCTATCCGTAATACCAAGTCTATGATTTCATATGCCCTAGTCTGTTGTGTGCCAAACCACAAATGTTGTGGTATCGCTTGCTTTGATATGGTTTAACGTTGAACCACAACATTTGTGGGTTGGTCCACAATAGGCTAGGGCATAGGAAGACATAGACTTCGTATTAGAGATAGAAACATGACAGTAGGCCTGTTCAACCATAGACGTGGTCCATGACGCAACGGCTTGACCATGAGAATTACTCGGGGACTTTAGCTTCAAGTCAGTCTCCCAGAAGCAGAGTGTGGCAAATAACTCCTCGAGTAGCACAGATGTAGCGGCAGGGCTCGAGTGTAATACTTGACGAGTCGTCGTGTGTTACTAAGAATGGCAAGACTCACTGACGATGACGGCGAAACGTCTGGGTCTGAGTCCTCCTACCAATAAGACCAAGTTGCGAAGAGAAGGTCAAACTACTTATATAGAATGAAAGGAGACTGCGACAACACAAAAGGCAACACCATCTTGGTCTTCATACCTTCGATTAAAGTTAAGTATACTTTGAAGATGAATATAGGACATTCTTGCTTGTATAACATCGTTTGCAACTCTGATTCCTCTAAAAATCTGTATGTACCCCGATAGACATCATTAAAGCGACACAATTTAATCCAGAAATAATACAAGAGGGAGGACAAGATTAATCCTACCGTAACTAGCATACCCTGTGGTGATGCATCGCAGTCGCATCAGCTTCTCTTTGCATAGCATAATTCATTCACACTAGCTGAATATTTGTCATAACGATGATCGGATCAGAATAGACAAGGGAGTATGAAACTGTGATCATATCAGCCTCAGATACAATTTACTACAGAGCATGACAAGTCAATGCTTATCAATTAGAATAACGCTTTTCAACTTTAGCATGCTTTTTTTCATACCTGCTTGTTGGCGAAAACAAATAAACAATGAGATAGGAAAAAAAGTGACCAAAGCGTAAACCGACTTGTGGCAAGTTTAAAGGTGGTATTATCAATTAAGTGCATTTTAAGAAGATTTTAAAGTAGCCTTCGTGGCAAATACGCCTGAAAAACGATGCGGGGAGCTCAGCAAAGATTGATTGGGGTACACAATGATGTGCCGAGGACTGAGGCATATGAATTAGTACCAGCCGCAAGGCATAAGATGACCATGAATATCATAAATATTTGAGTTCATATATCACAACAGCAATAAGCAATGGCATCAAAATGTCCAACATAATATACTCAAGATAGGATTGAGCTTACGTTTCCGGGTCGATCTTTGGTCGAGGAGTACGGACAGCCTTTTTTGTGGTCTTAGTGAGCTTGTTTAACTTTTCTAACAATTCCACGTCAATATCGTCTCCTGAAAGTGGAAAATTGCAGTAAAGATGTATTATTAACCTTATAAATGGGAAAATGGTATATTTTTGCAAAAATACTCCATAGACAAAAGTTGTAAATTATTTGCAAAATGGCCTACATATACATAAAGCCAAGAAATATACATAAG